ATAACCAATCTTTGTTATGACACTAATATTAGGTAATGAAATTGTACTTAAACTGCCACAAACACATTGACAGGTGGACATTTACACCTGTCTTGGTCATTTACTATTGTCGTCGGCGGCGGCGGGGGCGGGGCCGGCGGCAGCGGCGGGGGCGGGGCCGGCGGCAGCGGCGGCGGCAGCGGCAGTGGCAGCGGCAGCAGCAGCAGCAGCAGTAGTAGTTCCCTTGAAGCAATGTGTAAGACAAGTGTCAGTGGCAAGCATCCAGGAAGGCAGTGATAAGATGAGATAAGGGATGACAGTTGATGGGTGCTAGTGAGGGTGCAGAGATAAGATAAGGGGTGACATTTGATGAGCTCGTATCTGTCTCTGATTATCTGTCTCCTCTCTGTCTGCTTGTCTCTTTCCATCTCTCTGCTTGTCTCTCTCTCTATCTCAGAGAGAGCCACTGTGATCCAACAGGTATTCTTATGCATTATATCTACAAGCACAGTATAGCACTTTGGACTTTTTAGGTTATCTTAGGTAATTTACACTATGTATAATTGTATTTGTGTGTACCTGTGAGACAGATAAAAAGAGACAGAGACAAATAGACAGACCCTAAACTTGGGGTTAACATCACTTTCCTCTTAAAAGGGGAGTGTTAATATGACATTACATCAGAGAATCCTTGGTGTTTGCCGCACTGTTTGCTCTAGCTGGTGCTCAATTTAACTGGCGCTCCCACAAGGTACTAAGTGGCCCCAGATTTTTTTTAATATGGTACACATCTAGTGTTAAGACCCATTCTATGCTGACCAGGCATCTCGGGCCAATCCTGTGCCAAATTTGGAGGCAGGAAAAATAAAATGTATATATACATTTGGGGTGCTAGCGGTAAGAAAGTATATATACGTTTGGACTGTTTAGGGGTTAAACAACCGTGCTTTTGTTGTCACTGCACAATATAATACAGTGAACATTAGTCACTAATTGAAAAAATAAAAAATATTTGTTTTTGAAGGGGCTTTAGCCCCCATCCCTCATGGCTGCTCTACTAAAAGGTATTCTGACTCTCTTTTTTTAATGTTTAGCAAAAATCACCATCACTGACATGCAGGAGAAAATGAGGAGATATGACAATTGCATAAGGGATCACAAGAGAATAAGATAAGGTAGATGAGGAAGATTTCTTAATGTTCCCAACAATAATGAAAGGCCAAATATAAAATGAGAAAAGCATGCAAGGAAATATTTCTTCATAAATATAGTAGTAGATTATTGCAGTGTGAGCCAGTAAATAGTAAACAGTTAGGATTCCAACTTACAATGTTCCACTTTTATGACACTGGCACTTCGGAACAAATTGACTTATGAACATGGACTCATTCTTTTGATATACAGGACTTCTTACAATTTAAAATATTTAAGGTTTATTTATAAATATATTTTTTTCAGTTACTTTCTTCTACCATAAGCATTCATATTTCGGGTATGTTTTTTTTAATGGATGTATGTATAGAGAGAAAGCATCTGTTTGGTAAGCACTGCTCAAGAACAGTGGAACTAATATTTATAATTTCCATAAAGCTAAATTAAAAAAAATCTTGGTTAGTTTTTACCAAATGCATTCATACTTTGTATATATACATTTTATGCATGTATAGAGCCCCCACATTTGTTTGATAGAGATTGGTCAAGAACTCTAGGTTTAATATAGTACATGATTTTCAAAAGACTGGAGTTTACCTGGAGAGAGTTCCGGGGGTCAACGCCCCCGCGGCCCGGTCTGTGACCAGGCCTCCTGGTGACTGTGGTAGCTATCAATATCTGACAAGTCCAATAGCTGCTACCCACATACTGGCCGTGCAGGAAGGAGGGAGCGCATCACACCATCTCTCACTCAATTACACTAACCACTACCTCTCTCCCCCTCTTCACTAATGCTCCAGGATTTGAACTGACCTGAGTTCACCCTCAAGTGTTGATCATACAAATGGCTATATGACTTGCACATGGCATCTGTAAATGTGAATACTAAGTACATCCAAGATGGTTACAGACAATACATGTACCAACACATGACACTTACTCTACTGACACCTGCCCCTACATACACATTGTACAGTATATTGTGGCTCTGTTCTGTTTATAAAATAATATTTAATACTGTTTATAAGTGAATAAGGAGAGTAATGACTATACAGTGGTCCCTTGAGTTATAATATTAGTATGTTCCAGAAGATGTATTGTACCTCAAAAACCAAAATGTACATGGTTTTATGGTAATTCATTCCAAGACTTGGGAAGTGCAACTTTTATTGTACCTTGAACTTTCACACTTATAAATATAACTTGCAGGCACTGTCTCCCTTCACCTGCTTCTCTTATCCACAACCGCAACAGTCTTTCTATCTCTATTATAATTTCTCTGCTCTTCTTCACTAGCTTAGATTCATCAACTACTTTATTATTCATTATTATTTCTATTTGCTTGATAACAGCAGAGATGGTAGTGTGTGGAAAGCCACATACATGCACTAATTATTTGCTTGATCTTCAGAGAAATGGCATGTTGACTGTACACTGTAGGGGCCATGATAGCTTGGTAATGCAAAAGATGGTGCAATTATATAACAAATGAATTATGAAGGGTAAATAATCCAGAGATATTGCATGAAACACCTGTGATAGCTTAACCCTTTCAGGGTCGACAGGCCCTCTCAGAAACTTGTTCTCAGGGTTGCCCAAATTTTAAAAAAACAATTATTTTTTCTCATGAAAAGATAGAGAATCTTTTCCCGATCATAATGACACCAACAGTATGAAATCTGATGGAAAACTTACGGAATTATGCTCTTGCGAAGTTAGCGGTCTTGACGATGTTTACGCATCAGCGATTTTGCCCACTTTGAGCCCTATTTTCGGCCAATTCCACTATACTAGTCAACAAAAATCATGAATATTTTGCTAAAACTCCATTTGTTTTATCGAATGAGTGCAAGAAACCACCCATTTACCAATTTCAACTATCCAATACAATGGTCAGAATTTAGCAATTTTGCCAATTTCACACAAATTTCAAAAGATGCCAATTTCCAAATATGTAGGGTCCAGAATTAACAAGAAAGACATTCCTGGCACTAAAATGACATTTCCTCTGTTCATTAGTCACGTCCCAACGCCCCTCTTACATTCTTTTGCTTTCCAATTTGAATTTTTATTCTCACAAAAAAATAGAAGATTTACTGTTATGCAGACTACTGCATTAGTGTAAAAAATGGTATAAATAATATCGGGGCACTTGTGAAAGAATATTAGACTCACCAGTTGACGTGTATTGGACGCTTAGCATGATTTGTTTACTTTTGAACTTTGGTAAAAATCAAACATTTCTGCTACTTTGAGCTCAATTTCAAGGTACTTTTCATTGTAAAATCAGTTAAAATCATCTCAATTTCTATAATATGTCTTCCATTCTATAGAATGAGACCAGGAAAACTAGAACACAACAATAAATACCATACGAAAATACAGTGCAAAGTCGCTGTTTTAAACCAAAAACATGGTCAAAGTTTTTTTTCTCTCATTACACACTGTGTGCTGCAGGATTTTTTTTATACTGCACACACTGACCACATAGATCCATTCTTTCATATGTAGGCCTACCAGCTTTCTCTCCCTAGATTTGAGGGCGCTAGAATTTGGGTGTACTAGTACAGTGGACCCCCGCATAACGGACGCCTTGCATAACGGACAATCCGCATAGCGGACGCTTTGATCACTAAAATTTTGCCCCGCATAGTGGACAAAAACCCGCTCAGCGGCCTTCGTCCGAGACGCGTCCAATGTGCGGCCTGAGCCACGCTCACATGTTCCGCGGGTGGCATTGTTTACCAGCCAGCCTCCGCGGTAACATCCAAGCATACAATCGGAACATTTTGTATTATTACAGTGTTTTTGGTGATTTTTTTCTGGAAAATAAGTGACCATGGGCCCCAAGAAAGCTTCTAGTGCCAACCCTACAGGAATAAGGGTGAGAATTACTATGGAGATGAAGAAAAAGATCATTGATAAGTATGAAAGTGGAGTGCGTGTCTCCGAGCTGGCCAGGTTGTATAATAAACCCCAATCAACCATCGCTACTATTGGTGGTACAGCTGCTGCTGCTGCTGTATCACCGTCAGCTGCTGCTGCACTGTCAGCTGCTGCTGCTGCTGTACCACCGTCAGCTGCTCCTGCTGCTGTAGTACCATCTGCTGCTGCTGTAGCATCATCTGCTGCTGCTGTAGCATCGTCTGCTGCTGCTGTAGCATCGTCTGTTGCTGCTGTAGCATCGTCTGTTGCTGCTGTTCCACCGTCAGCTGCTGCTGCTGCTGTAGCATCGTCTGCTGCTGCTGCTGCTGTAGCATCGTCTGCTGCTGCTGTAACATCGTCAGTTGCTGCTGTAGCATCGTCTGCTGCTGCTGTAGCATCGTCTGTTGCTGCTGTAGCATCGTCTGCTGCTGCTGCTGCTGTAGCATCGTCTGCTGCTGCTGTAACATCGTCAGCTGCTGCTGCTGCTGCTGTAGCACCGTTGTTGGTGTGGCTTATTGAGAATACCAAGAAACAATTAACCCAGAGGATTTGCCACCCAGGATAGCCCAAAAAAGTCAGTGTCATCGAAGACTGTCTAACTTATTTCCATTGGGGTCCTTAATCTTGTCTCCCAGGATGCAACCCACACCAGTCGACTAACACCCAGGTGAACAGGGAAAATGCCTGGAACTAGTGCTCATATTGGTGAATTTAGAGCCAGCAAAGGTTGGTTTGAGAGATTTAAGAATCGTAGTGACATACACAGTGTGATAAGGCCTGTTCTGGAAGAAAATACCAAACAGGACCTACAGTACTCAGGAGAAAAAGGCACTCCCAGGACACAGTGTCTCATCAGTCATTGCTGCATCTTCAATAAAGGTAAGTGTCATTTATTCTTCATTTAGTAGAGTAGTACACGCACAATATATATTGTGCATGTACTACTCTACTATTGTGCATGTATCCTTCTCTTTGTGTGTAGGAAAATGTATATTTCATGTGGTAAAATTTTTTTTTTCAAACTTTTGGGTGTCTTGCACGGATTAATTTGATTTCCATTATTTCTTATGGGGAAAATTCATTCACATAGCGAACATTTCGCATAACAGCCAGCCCTCTTGCACGGATTAAGGTCGCTATGCAGGGGTCCACTGTACGTCAAAAACCCTGGTGCGTAAGCCGTACTAGTACGGCCGAAACCCTGAAAGGGTTAAAAGTGAAGAATAAACAATGAACTGTAATACAAACTTTGCTATTGGCAGGGACATTCAGCACTGTTGCTGACTGGCTGCTAAGCCACCCTCCTAGACCCCCATTCCCATTGGTGCACATGCTGTCTAAGAGGCAAGCTACCACATTACTGGTTGGCTAACGTATACTCACACATGCTGATCATAATAATAATAATAATAATAATAATAATAATAATAATAATAAAACAATAATAATAATACAGTAATAACAATAATAATAATAATAATAATTAGGTAGTAGGTTGGTAGACAGCAACCACCCAGGGAGGTACTACCGTCCTGCCAAATGAGTGTAAAACAGAATCCTGTAATTGTTTTACATAATGGTAAGATTGCTGGTGTCTTTTTTCTGTCTCTTAAACATGCAAGATTTCAGGTACGTCTTGCTACTTCTACTTACACTTAGGTCACACTACACATACATGTACAAGCATATATATATACACACCCCTCTGGGTTTTCTTCTATTTTCTTTCTAGTTCTTGTTCTTGTTGATTTCCTCTTATCTCCATGGGGAAGTGGAACAGAATTCTTCCTCCGTAAGCCATACGTGTTGTAAGAGGCGACTAAAATGCCGAGAGCAAGGGCCTAGTAACTCCTTCTCCTGTATAAATTACAAAATTTAAAAAGAGAAACTTTCGTTTTTCTTTTTGGGCCACCCTGCCTTGGTGGGATATGGCCGGTGTGTTGAAAGAAAGAATAATTTCTGTAGGTAGTAGGTTGATAGACAGCAAACGCCCAGGGAGGTACTACTGTCCTGCCAAGTGAATGTAAATGGAAACCTTTAATTATTTGTACATGATGGTAGGATTGCTGGTGTCTTTTTTTCTGTCTCATAAACATGCAAGATTTCAGGTATGTCTTGTTACTTCTACTTACACTTAGGTTACACTGCACTTGCATATTTTTTTTTTTTTTTTTTTTTTTTCAACAAGTCGGCCGTCTCCCACCGAGGCATATAAATACACACCCCTCTGGGTTTTCTTCTATTTTCCTACAAGTTTTTGTCCTTATTTCCTCTTATCTCCATACGAAAGTGGAACAGAATTCTTCCTCTGTAAGCCATGTGTGTTGTAAGAGGTGATTAACATGCCAGGAGCAAGGGGCTAGTAACCCCTTTTCCTGCATACATCATTAAAGTTAAGAAGAGAAACTTCAGTTTTTCTTTTTGGGTCACCCTGCCTTGGTGGGATACGGCCGGTTTGTTGAAAGAAGAATATTTCTACAAGTACATGATACAACTATTACAGACTTTACTGATATCATTGGCATACTACTGTATACAGAAACTGAAGTTAATCTTGTTCCCAAGGATGCAGCCTACAACAGTCATACCATTATATGCATACCATACCTCAAATTTTTCGTCGCAACTCAAAACTAAATTCCTTTGAGGGCAAATTGTAACTCAAAATTATTGTAACTCAAGGGACCACTGTACTGTAAATCTTGGGTAAATATTCTTGGTTAAAGAAAGAGGAAGTTAGATATGGAATATGGCTCAGGAATGCATCTCTGATATTGTGTTTATAGGAAAACAGGTTTCAGGTTCAAAATAACTGATTTATGAACAATTTCAAGAACATATTAACATTATACAGGAGCAAGGGGCTAGTAACCCCTTCTCCTGTATACATTACTGAAATTAAAAAGAGAAACTTTTGTTTTTCTTTTTGGGCCACCCTGACTCATAATAACAACATAATAAGTCAAGGACTTAAGGCATAATATAACCACTAGAAACTTTAAAGAATTACGTGAGCTCTACTCCTGTAGCTATTATAACCAAATGGAAATTCCAAAAGGGTAATAACTTGCGGGGCAGCAAAGCTGTCGTCACTGTTGGTATCAAACTAAGGTGAGCTTGCACAAAATAGCAATATAAATGCAGTACTTCCCAGAAACCCCAGGTTGCTTTAGTTATTCAGTCTAGTACATGAGAGATATTAGCAATCCATCTTGACTTTGAACAGAGAATCTGTGTCATACATACAGCAAGTACAGTGTCCCTCATGTTATACTGCAGAAGAGTATCAGACATGACAGTTACATTAATCAGTAAGGTCAAACACTTAATTTTACAAAATAAAACTCATCAATACACTTTGCAAACCACACTGATCACACATGGCAAGTGCATATTGCATATACAGAATTACCTATAGCAATAGGATATCCCATTAAAGTGAATTTGCATCCAGCAAATCTACATAAAGTGAAGGGAAACCTGTAATAAGTATATCATATTAAGAAATGATAAACAGTGATAAGCTGACTGCCTTTTCCTAGCAAAATTGTTTTAACATCCTCAGTATAATGCATATATAATTAATCATTTATACAGATTTCATATTTATAAATAAAGTGAATCCAAGAGACATGATTAGTATCTTTTGTAGAAACAATATGGGCCATACAGTATTTTGCAATGTTTTGAAAGCAACAGTTATTAAATTTACTTAAAGACTGCAGTGCCTTGTATCATATGAGACTATGAAATATGATTATGTATTTAATGAGTAAAAAGACAGAATACCATAACTGGAACAGTACGCAAATTAACCCACATGTAGGAGACAAACTTAAGTCAACGCTTTGATCTGACTCGGACCACTGATAGTAACACTGATAAACATGAAGGGAAGGAAGTCAGAATATATATGAACTGGGGGCAAGGGATAGGAGTTCTACTATTATCATTCTAATCCCTTGCCCCCCTCTCTTATATATATAGTCTAGCTCATTTCCTCTTGCATTTCTGTGTGTGACCAGTTAAGAGGTCCAAGTCAAACTGAAATGTCATCATTAGTTTCAGTCTCATACATTCAGGCTATCCGTTTATATCTTAATGTGAAGCACTGGAGATTATACTATTTTATAAAATTGATAATATGTAATTAGACTGCAGTCCTCTACTTAAAAAATATTAATACAAAATTTTATTAAATTAAACAAAATTGTATTTCTTCACAATAACCTACAGTATATGTGTATAATAACATATAAAGACAAATGAAACAAGCAGTTGGCAGCTGATAACCAAATCAACACAAACATTTGTTTCTCTGAGTCAGCAACATCAAAGGTATTTATAAGTATGATGTCAAATTATTCATAATTATGCATTTACCCTCTTGCTCTCTGCATGAGAAATTGAAATGATTTAACCTAAAAATACATAAAAGAAGAATCAGGAATAGTACAAAAAATTACTTAGGACATAGAAACATCCTTCCAATGACATGAACATAATTGTAAAAAAGGCAATAATGTAAGGAATAATTACTTGAAAACATTGACTGAATGTGAATATCCTGTGTGACATTGCTCCTGGGGGCATGAAAATATACAGTACCAAACATTTTCCTTCACAGGACATTATATATAAACATTCATATCAAAAATTCTCTCTCTAAGGAGCATCCAGTTAGTCTGGCACCATGGTGCACTAAATACAAAGAGTAACATTATGTACTGAAAATCCTTGAATTGTGGAGCAAAACTTATGAGCCTGTAAGTTACCTAGGTGCAACTAAGCATGTTGTTTGAATTATTTTTATATTATGGGAAAGCACTCAACCCATAGGGGTCATACAGCACCTGCAGAACGGAAGGCAATCAGGTTTGACAAAAAGGAGAGGGCAGCTCCAGTTTCTTAAATCAAGAACCCATTGCTAGCATCAAAGCACTGACTTTGAAGTACTCAAACTGTTACATTTAGTCTCCTGGCAGGATCTCAACCCATGATAATGGGTGATGGCATACATGTGGAGAACCATTTTATTACAATTGAGATTTACTTAAAATTCTTTTCCTTAGGTTGCTGATGTAACAGTACTGCAACAAAGAATAATCTAAAATTTATAGTGATAATACGAGCTATCATCACACGCTGTAAGGCAGTGGGCTGGCTGGCAATATACATAGTTACTAACATACACAATATTGCAAGCAGTGGACTGGCAGGTGATTACTTTGAAGTTAACCAACTTACAGATAAAGCATGACTACTGTATGCTCCATTAATTCTGACTGGCTCTGTCAAGACCAAGTTGCATCACACTTAGAAAACCTGTGTTTCACATGTCTTTGTATACATTTTTTTTCATTTAAAATATAGAAAATAAACCCAAAACACTTAATTTTCACCATTTTTTCACTTATAAGCATTTCATTATGGCTAACTTTTGAGATAAAAGGATATTTATCTCATAAAAGAATATTATGAACGACATCGATGAGACAAAACTTTTGTAACACGAACCAATTTAAAAATAATTGTGATGTGTAAATAAAGTTTTAACAAAACACTAAGTCATTTACCTTGTTCACAAAAAAAAGAGAAAGAAATCTTTTTTGACTGCTTTACTCTTCTCCTTCACTAGCTGGCGAACCTTCTTCACTTTCAGATATACTCGAGACATCATCATTTTCAGCTGAAATAGGCACTTCTGGCACTTCTGGGATGCCATTTGCCTTCAGCTTCATTTTTAACTTCTTCAGGTGCTTTAGCAACGTACCATACTGAAAACGACCTCGTCTTTCTCCAAAAGGATCCTGAAAATTAGTACAGTGTTGTCAAGCATACTGAACATTACTATAGAACAATAATGACTATGAAGAAAAGCTGTACTGAAATGTTAAAATTTGTATAGAGCTGTATCATAATTTGACAAAGCTCTACTCAGAGAAAAACACTGCTTCAGCAAAAGATGTTCTAAAATGTGTATCTTTTCATTATTGTCGGCAGTTCACCATTCATATCAAAAAATAAGGAGTGTTTAAAACTAAAAACAAAAGCTATCATTAAAATGTATTTTTTCTGGTCATTACGTTTAATTTTTAACGTATTTCCTTCAAACTATATTCTTGCAAAGTTTCCTACTTCTACTGGCAAACCTGAATTAAAGAAGCCCTATTGAACATTGCTCTGTTGAACAAGACTATGTATTGTATTTCACTCTTCTATATGCATAAAAATCTTTAAAAAGGTTTTCTTATCAATAGATCTTAATAATAGGGAAGTGCAATAAGTCCAGCGGCCCATGCTGTATATATCCTACTCACTAACAACCATTTCCATTCATCTCATAATAGCTTAGCAAGAGAAGAGCACTGTAGTCATTTATTATTGATATAATCATGGTAAATGCAGCAGCGAGGAGACGGTTGGAGGCAGCGGAGATGTCCTGTTTAAGGGCAATGTGTGGTGTAAATATTATGCAGAAAATTCGGAGTGTGGAAATTAGGAGAAGGTGTGGAGTTAATAAAAGTATTAGTCAGAGGGCAGAAGAGGGGTTGTTGAGGTGGTTTGGTCATTTAGAGAGAATGGATCACAGTAGAATGACATGGAAAGCATATAAATCTATAGGGGAAGGAAGGCGGGGTAGGGGTCGTCCTCGAAAGGGTTGGAGAGAGGGGGTAAAGGAGGTTTTGTGGGTAAGGGGCTTGGACTTCCAGCAAGCGTGCGTGAGCGTGTTAGATAGGAGTGAATGGAGACGAATGGTACTTGGGACCTGACGATCTGTTGGAGTGTGAGCAGGGTAATATTTAGTGAAGGGATTCAGGGAAACCGGTTATTTTCATATAGTCGGACTTGAGTCCTGGAAATGGGAAGTACAATGCCTGCACTTTAAAGGAGGGGTTTGGGATATTGGCAGTTTGGAGGGATATGTTGTGTATCTTTATATGTTTATGCTTCTAGACTGTTGTATTCTGAGCACCTCTGCAAAAACAGTGATAATGTGCGAGTGTGGTGAAAGTGTTGAATGATGATGAAAGTATTTTCTTTTTGGGGATTTTCTTTCTTTTTTGGGTCACCCTGCCTCGGTGGGAGACGGCCGACTTGTTGAAAAAAAAAAAAAAAAAAAAAAAAAAAATAATCATGTGCAAGCCCTAAATCCATAGGGCACACACAGCACCTGAGAAATGTGATGCAATTAAGTTTGTGCCAAGGAATGCAAGAGCAGCTCCAATACCTTGGATTAATGGCCCTTGATCAGCATCAAGGCACCCCCTTGAAGAGTCATTATGTCATGTTTCATTTGTTTCGATGGTGTGTAAAGGTAGAAACTTAAAAGTGAAAACAGATAAGTGTAAAGTGATGAGGGTATCAAATGATTTTGATTAAGAAAAACTGGATATCACATTGGAGGGAAAGGAAGTTAAGAGTAATTAGGACAGTGAGGGCAACAGATAAATTTAGTAATTAATGCATTATCATTTTACATGTTCCAACATACTCACATCCATTGTCTGACCATCTCTGTGCTTATTCTTTTCACATATTTCAACATAATGGTCATAATACTCCATGAATGAAGCCTGCATAACATTGAGCAGGTCTGGAGGAGCAGTAGTGTTGCCCTCCAGCTGTTGTATGACAGCAACCCTGATGGACTCATGCATGATAATGGCATTATAACGTTCACTGTCTCCAATGTTATGCTCCTGAAAAAAAAAATACATATTAACCATTGTTAAACAAGGACCATGGCTAACAAATATGGTAATATGTATCTCTAAATGATGGTAGGAGTGCTGGTGTCTTTTTTCTGTTTCATAAACATGCAAGATTTCAGGTACATTTTGCTATTTCTACTTACACTTAGGTCACACTACACATGCATATACAAGCATATACATATATACACACTCCTCTGGGTTTTCTTCTATTTTCTTACTAGTTCTTGTTTATTTCCTCTTATCTCCATGGGGAAGTGAAACAGAATTCTTCCTCCGTAAGCCACGCGTGTTGTAAGAGGTGACTAAAATGCCAGGAGCATGGGGCTAGTAACCCCTTCTCCTGTACATAACACTAAATGTAAAAGGAGAAGCTTTTGTATTTCCTTTTGGGCCACCCTGCCTCAGTGGGATACAGTCAGTGTGTTGAAAGAAGAAGAATCTCTATATCATCTGACAATTTTTTTTTTATTTTTATAGTTAATAAAATTATTTTTATAAAAAATCATTTTATTAACGCATCGTTCATTTCCTACCGAGGCAGGGTGACCTAAAAAAGAAGAAACACTTTCATCATCAGTCACTCTATCACTGTCTTGCCAGAGGTGTGCCTATCCTACAGTTCAAAAACTGCAATATATCTCCACCCCTCTTTCAGAGCACAGGCACTGTACTTCCCACCTCCAGGACTCAAGTCTTGCTAACCAGTTTCCCTGAATCCCTTCATAAATGTTACTTTGCTCACACTCCAACAGCACATCTAGTCATAAAAACCATTTGTCTCAACTCAGTCCTAACACGCTCCCTCCAAACTGATATCCATTCTTTCATTACCTCAGTTTTTTGTTATACCCATCACCTTGCTCTTTCCTATGTTCACTTTTAATTCCCTTCTTTTACATACCCTTCCAAACCCATTAACCAACCCTTGCAACTTCTCTCCAGAATCTCCCAACAGCACAGTGTCATCAGCAAAAAGCAACTATGACAAGTCCCACTTTGTTAGATTCTTTATCACTTAATCCCACACCTCTTGCCAATACCTGAGAATTCATTTCTCTTACAACCTCACCTATAAATATATTAAACACCCATAGTGACATCATGCATCCCTGTCTAAGGCCTACTTTTACTGGGAAATAATCTCCCTCTCTTCTACATACTCTAACCTAAGCCTCACTATCCTCATAAAAACTCTTGACTGTTTTCAGTAACCTACCACCTATTCCATACATTTGCAACATCTGCTACATTGCTTCCCTATCCACCCTATCACATGTTTTTTTCAAATCCATAAATGTAACAAAAACCTCTTTACCCTTATACATGAAATCCCTGTCCTTAGTCAACATTTAACAGCTCCGTAAAATATTCCCTCCTTTCTAATACAGCCTCTCATCACTTAGCGATGTACTCATTTACCGACGACTCAGACTTACAACGGGCTCTCTGACTAGTATGCATATCTAAATAATGTATATTAATGCTGATTTCTTCTATTTTGTTTATTACAACATACAGTACACTGCTGTATAAACACTTAAAAATATACAAAAAAAGTTATAAATGATGCAAAGGTGACATTAAAACAATATCAAAGATGGTTGACACAAACCCACTACCATTATACTAGGCTCCTTGCTTAGCGACGAATTCACTTACTGATGTGGTCTTAGGAACGGAACTCCATCATTAAGTGAGGAGATGCTTTATTTCCAACTCCCCCCAAAAAAAGAAGAAACGAAGGTTTTTCTTTTTACATTTAATAATTTATACAGGAGAAGGGATTACTAGATCCTTGCTCCTGGAAATTTTAGTCACCTCTTACGACATGCATGGATATTTATAGAGGAAGGATTCATCTCCAATCCCTCATGAATTATTATTTCTTTCTCAACAAGCAGGCCCCCTCTCACTGAGGCAGGGTGACCCAAAAAAGAAACACTTGCACCATCATTCAACACTTCTGCTATGATTCACACATAATCACTGTCTTTGCAAAGGCTCACAGATATGACAGTCTAGATGTCATTCCAAACAGCCAGTATCCCAACCCCCTCCTTTAAAGTGCAGGCACTGTACTTTCCACCTACAGGATGCAAGTCCGGTTAACCAGTTTCCCTGAATCCCTCCACAAAATATTACCCTGCTCAAACTCCAACAGCTTGTTAGATCTCAAAAACAATTTGCCTCCATTCTCTAACACGCTCACACATGCCTGCTGCATGTCCAGGCCCCTTGCACATAAAACCTCTTTTACCCCCTCCCTCTATCCTTTCCTAGGACAACCCCTACCCCTCATCCCCTCCACTACAGATTTATATGCCCTCCAAGTCATCCTATTTTGCTCCATCCTCCCTAAATGACCAAACCACCTCAACAACCTCTCTTTAGACCTCTGAATAATACTTTTTGTAACTCCACACTTCCTCCTAATTTCCACATTACAGATTCTCTGCATAATATTTGCACCAAACATTGCCCTTAGACACGACAGCTCCACTACCGCCAGCCTCCTCCTTGCTACAGCATTCACAACCCATGCTTCATACCCATATAAGAGCGTTGGTACTACTATACTCTTGTACATTCCCTTCTTTGCCTCCATGGTTAACACTTTTTGTTTCCACAGATACCTCAATGCACCACTCGCCTCATTTCCTTCATTGTTAACCTCATCCTTCATAAACCTATCCACTGATAAGTCTACTCCCAAATACATGAACACATTCACTTCTTCCATACTCCCTCCCTCCAATGTTAAATCCAATTTTTCTGTTCCTAACTCATATGATATCCTCATCACCTTATTCTTATCTATGTATTACTATTATATGTACCTGGAATGGTACAGGTGATGAGGGAAGAATGTTCAATAAGGCTGGGTACTGATGAACTGGGTACAGTCTCTCCTCACTTATTGACAGAGTTCCGTTCCTAAGACCACATCGGAAAACTAATTCGTTGCTAATCGAGGAATCACTCCTTACTGACACTTAAAAAGTGTCACCACCCAAAATTAAAACATTCAGTTTTATGTTTACTGGGAAATTCCTTTCAATTTTATTATTATTAACGGTAATACAACATGAAATAGGTCAATGATTTACTTCAGAGATATTCTAGGAAACGCATGCATAGCCGATTACTTGGGACAAAATTTTTTTTGAGAAAATCGCACTTTTCTCAGTCTTTGCATAGGATAAGAATGATTTTCTACAGTTACCCTTCAGGCACATAGCATGTAACATTTTCTGTAATGGTCACGGTCACTTTTTTATCCCTCCCTGCCCTCCACCCTTCAATACCTCTCTAAATAATGTCAGTTTTTATTAATTTGGGCATCGTTATCATGCTTCTACATTATTTATCTTATATTACAAGTGCATCCAAATGCGAGTTTTTCCAGATATGAGTAGCTGCTTGGTCGATTTTTTGCTTCCAGATGCGAGCAAAATTTCCAGATGTGTGCGGGGCTCGAGGGAGGTTCCTTGATGCTGGTGAGGGGCTCTTGCTCTTGATTTAAGGAATTTGATCTCGGTTGTTTGTTGGACTATCTTATTGAAACTTAGGCGATGTATGATGGAAAGATGTTTCTTAACGTACACCATAAATAACAAGTTTCGCTTCTCAGCCATTAGCCTCCCTTTAGCGGTATGTTTTTGTATGGTTTTTATGGTTGTATTCTCGTTTTTATAGTCTCTTTTGATAGACTGGAAGATATACTAAAGAAATAGATACGATTTTGATTGGTTTCACACGACGAGAAGTACCTTGAAATTGAGCTCAAAGAGGCAGAAATGTTCGATTCTTTGGCAATGTTCAAGAGTAAACAAACGATGTCACTGTCCAATACCTGTACGATTGGCACTGTCCCTCAACCTTCACATATTGGAAAGCTCTTCAACATGCTAGCAAAAGTGGGAGCAGACATCATGAGATAGCAGTGGCAGACAACATGAAGCAGTAGTGGTAGACAACATGAAGCAGCAGTGGCAGACATCATGAAGCAGCAGTGGCAGACAACATGAAGCAGCAGTGGCAGACAACATGAAGCAGCAGTGGCAGACAACATGAAGCAGCAGTGGCAGACAACATGAAGCAGCAGTGGCAGACAACATGAAGCAGTAGTGGTAGACAACATGAAGCAGCAGTGGCAGACATCATGAAGCAGCAGTGGCAGACAACATGAAGCAGTAGTGGTAGACAACATGAAGCAGCAGTGGCAGACATCATGAGGTAGCAGTGGCAGACAACATGAAGCAGCAGTGGCAGACAACATGAAGCAGCAGTGGCAGACAACATGAAGCAGCAGTGGCAGACAACATGAAGCAGCAGTGGCAGACAACATGAAGCAGCAGTGGCAGACCTTGTACCTTGAAAACAACCTTGTTGTACCCTGATAACAACAATGGCCGCTGTCACCACCACTAGCCACATATGTAATGACATTTATTTTATTCATTCTAGTGTATATATCATCTTTCTATGCTCTTAATATTGTTTATTATGACATATTAAATGAATTCTGATAGATAAATAAGCCTTAGAGCTGATATTAGGGAAATTATTGAAGTATTTTGTCGTGCCTGAAATTCCACTGGAACGGATTAATTCCATTTCAATAAATTTAAATGAGGAAAATTGACTCTGCAAACGAGCAAATCCAGATGCGAGCAAGGTCACGGAATGGATTAAACTCATAAACAGAGGTTCCATTGTACCTAATACAGTGGACCCTCGGGTAACGATGTCATCGGATAACGAAAAAATCAGATAGCGACACGTTTTTGCGTCAAAATATTGGCTCAGTTACTGAAAAAACTTGGTTAAGTATATTCATCCCGAACGTGTCCACATGGTCTGAGCGGCCCAGCCACTCCATGTACAGCTAGTGTGCCATTGTTTAAAAGCCAGGGAAGACGATTCCACACGTTCATGCGGAATATTTTGTATTATTCCATTGTTTTTAGTGCTTGTAACTGCTA